TGGCCTCCACCCTAGTAGCGTCCTTGCTACTAGTTGCGGTGGCCTCCACCCTAGTAGCGTCCTTGCTACTAGTTGCGATGGCCTCCACCCTAGTAGCGTCCTTGCTACCAACCCTCGACCGACGTCGACGGATCCGTTTCAGCGCTGAGGCCACGGCCGGCCAAGAGGGCCCGCTCGCGCTCGCCCTTTGGGCAGTTTCTGGGCAAGAAATGGCAAGAACTCCAGTCTTTTGTTCTTTACTTTGCTCTGTTCTCTTTTTCAAGACTTGTTGTGGAACACTTTATATATGGCTTGCATCACAGGCAGTAAGTGTCAAGAGGAACTCGTTTCACTGATGTTTTGATAGTAAAAGACAGTTTTTTTCAATATCACTGAATAAATACCCAGACCATCCGCTGGCGTGCGATGGAGATCCCCAAATAGCGTAGGGTAGTCCAGCCAGGACACCCAGAGAGGATGGTCCTGGGATGTTATGTTGAATAGTTGGTGTAGTGTGAACTGATATGTTTCAGCTTCCGGGTCGAGAGTCGTTGCATATCGTTTCGCGCCAGGCCCGCGGAGCCTGCGGAGCCTGCGGAGCCTGCGGAGCCGGCTGAGGAGATGCAAGATGCTCAGATCGAGGTGGGTCGTTCTGGATTTGTCAGGTCGTGAGCGGCTTTTAGATCCATTTCTTGGTCCTGCTTTTGCGCCCATACCCCCAGCGGGTGGTTTTTGTGGATGTCGGTGTTCTTTCTGTTTTCTGTTTTTTTCACAGGCCCAGAGCTGGTTTCGTTTTTTTTGGCTTCTTTCTTTCAGAGCCATAGATGTGGTTTTTGCTTGGATTCTCAGCTTCTCAACTCGGGTTCGTCCGTGGTTTTTGTGCCGCGAAGCGTTCAGCCGCGGCCACGGGAGGTTGGCGAGATCGAAGATTCGGGTGAGCCAGTGGCTGTCGCCCGTCAGGAACACCGGAGAAAGGGGCAGAACATGGGCCATTCATAGCCACAAAACCGTGAGGCATAGCCAGGCATGCTTTTTTCTGAGGTCACTGTGAGCCGAATCCAGATCAACATGGAATGTTCTTTGAATCAATCCAATGTTTTCACAGGCTCAAAACCTGTTCGTGAAGGTCTTTTCGGCGGTCTTCGGGTCTGTGCCGCGGTCCAGGTGAAGACGATGAGGCCGGGAGATGGGAAGACCTTCCCGAAGCAAGGTGATCAGCTGGTGATGTCACTGGGACGAGAAAGATTGCTGACCCTCCCTGCAGAGGACCATATGGAACCCCCTGTCAAGCAATGGGTTGGTATCGGAACATGGTCGATGGGGCGCGGATCAATTTTCGGGGTTCATGTGGTCCGTCTGCACGGGTACCATCAAACAACACGACGACGAAAACTCGTTACACATGAGGAGTCAAGTCGAATTGAGTCGAGTCTCTTGATTCGTTTTGGGTGCTTTGATGGCTATTCATTTTTTGAGGTGTTGGATTCATGGTTCGTTCATGGTTTGTTTTAACGTGTGGGGGCGTGGTCCACTTACTCAGGCACTATTCTGGCATACTTGCGTCAAAAGAGAAGCTGAAGGAGAAAGTGCCCTTTGACTCTTCATATTCACGAGGAAAGCCTTTCATGTTCAGGACAGCACTTCGGAACGGCGGCACACCACATCTCTCTGCTCTGCTGTTTTTTTTTGACTTTTTCTTAGTTCTGCTGTTGGTCATTCCAGTTGTCCCTCGTTTTGGCTCTCCGAAACTCCAATGCCTTAGAATGAATTAGCATGTTTGAAACCAATGCTGCGATGCCAGGATTGGAGTCGGGGAGGTGATTCGTGGCTGGGACGAGGGCATCATGCGAATGTCCTTGGGCGAGAAGGCCATGATCAGGGTGAAATCTGACTATGCCTATGGTGTCTCAGCGCAAGGCTAAGCCATTTCAAGCATGAATAACCCTTTGGGTTTTGGATTGTCGAGAAAACCGGGACGTCAGTGGATTCCAGTGACGTCTTATATGCTGTAAGATATTATAAGATTATATAATAGGTGTTTTTTTCTATTCTTTTCACTTTGTCACCTATGATCGTGCAGCTCTTTTCGGGTTCGAATCATCCGAGCTGCACTTGGTTGCTTTGTTGATCGTCTCACCTCGAACGTGTGGAAACACGAGATGAACTGCTCAAGCTGAGATGCTCAGGAATGGCTGGTGCTGGGTGCATCCCACCAAAGTCTGATTTGACGCTTGGCAGTGAACAGACTGAGAGACACAGGTATAGTCTAGTAGCTATTGACAAATAGCACCGTTGACAAGAGTCAAGATCTGGCATCGAGGAACTTTGAGGTGGAACTCCTGAAGATTTGCTGAGGAACTTGACTTCATGGCTTGCTTCATAGACTATAGAGTTCATGGCTTTCTTGTACAGTGAACTGGGAGTGCGTGCAACACGCCTGCTGGTCGCCGAGCAGTTGAACTCACTTCGAGGAAAAATGACACATGTGAAGGCATGTTCTGCCCAAATGTGAGGACAGCTGCCTACATAGATCACATTTTGTGGGACATTCTTGAAAGATTGCAAGTTGCCAGCAAGCAAAGTTGGAGCTTTCTATATGGCTTCGCCGTGTTGCATCCTCGGACTTCTGAGGTGAAGTTGTGTTGCGTCACCTTGAAATCGAAGGAGATCAGGCACGTTTCAGCAAGTTGATGTCTGATCTCCGTGCTGAGGGAGCCCAGGACTTAGATCATCAAGCTGCGATTTCTGAAGAGAAACCAGGGTCTACTCAGCTCTTGTACGGGATTGCCTTCCTTTCCAAGGCGCTGCAATCTTTGAGGTGGCAGTCACAGCACTGCTACTCGCCGACTAGAAGCTGTTCAAGCAACAAGTCATGCCTCATGGCTGTGCCACCTTGCGGAGAAGAAAGGCCGAAATCGTTTGATCATATGAAGCATGGGCGATGAATGATTGCCACCAATCGTGACCTTTGGCTAACTGTTTCTTTGCCCCATAGTGCTGGCAGGCGCTTCCAATTCAGGATCGCATCCGGATTCCGAAGCTTCCCTGATGCAGACGCGTCCGTTTTTTGGATTCCAGGATCGCTCCGTCAGAGTCTGGGATTTGAACACCTTGGCCATGCTGGCGAGCCTGGAACAGGAGACCGGGGTCACCCGGTGGCCGGATGGGCCAAGCTTTTCGGGACCTTTGGGTGGGCACCACTTTTGGGGAAGAGACGTTCCAATTCGCATCTTATATTTTTGGTGTGCAGCAGCAGCAGCAGCAGGAGCAGGAGCAGGAGCAGGAGCAGGAGCGGGAGGAGGAGCAGGAGCAGGAGCAGGAGCAGGAGGAGGAGGAGGAGGAGGATGAGGAGGAGGAGGAGGAGGAGCAGGAGCAGGAGCAGGAGGGAGCAGGAGCAGGAGCAGGAGCAGGAGCAGGAGGAGGAGGAGCAGCAGCAGCAGGAGTAGTAGTAGTAGTAGTAGTAGTAGTTGTAGTTGTAGTGGTAGTTGTAGTTGTAGTTGTTGTAGTTGTTGTAGTTGTAGTAGTAGTAGTAGTAGTTGTTGTTGTAGTAGTAGTAGTAGTAGTAGTTGTTGTTGTTGTTGTTGTTTTTGTTGTTGTTGTTGTTGTAGTTGTAGTTGTAGTTGTTGTTGTAGTTGTTGTTGTTGTTGTTGTTGTTGTTTTTGTTGTTGGTTTTCATGATCTCTGTGCTTTTCAGGCTACAGTAGGCTTTCTTGACGGAACATCAGGAAACCACCCTCTTTCCTTCAGCGGGTCTACTCGTCCTGTGGTGTCCGATGGGACGAATACCGCGCATACCGACGCGGTATGCCGCCGAATCCGGCAGGCGCACCTCAGCGGCATATTCCGGGTTCGGCAGCTCGACTCAGGCCAAGGGGCGCGCGTGGCGCGAGGAAGAAGGAAGTTCGACGGAAGCAATTTCAGCTGTGCCATGCGCCATGCGCCATGGGCCATGCCCTTCAGTGACTGCCCGAATCCGTTCAAATACGCAGGAGATTCCTTCATCACCGCCAGCAGAGACAGGACCATGAAGGCCAGGCTAACCAAACACCATCCATGCCAACGCCGCTGGACCAAGCCCCGACTGCACCAGGTGTGGCTCTCTTCGACATGGCAGGTGCATCGTCCAGCCACCGATGAGTCTTTTGAAGGGGCTCCAACCTAGTAGCGATGGATAGCGATGGCCTCCTGGGTGCATCATCAAAAGGTCAAAGGACTTTGTTGGAATCATGCTGTGTTTTTCGCTGCACTTGGCCATGCAAAAACGCGCCCAAATCGGCAGAGAATGGACTCTCCCGGCGCTCTTCCACCCATTGCGTTCTGCTTTCGAACGCTCGGAACCCTCGGACCCGGCGGACCGTTTCGGCGGCCAGGCGCGCCGCACCTTGGCGCCGCCGCACTACGATGGGGTGCCGGACCAAACGGGGGTCGGCGATCGAGGGTCTTCGCGCGCGGGCGCACCCGAGACCGGGGCGCGGACCTGGAAACGGCTTTCCGGGAAGCCGTTTTCCGGGAACGGAACTTCATCTGCCCTGGCATGAAACAATTTCAGCGAAAGGCTGAGCTGAGATTTGATGCTCCGGCCAAGAACACACGGCCAATGCGAACACGAACGACCGAGCGACCTGAAAAAAGGAAATGGGGCCAAAACCATCCCCCTTAAAGTTTCCCTTACAGAATTGGAGGTCCTGGGATCTCTATAAGGCCAAAACCACTTGACAGGGATCCAAAACCACTTGATGGTTCTTTTTGTGGGCGATGTTGAGAAAACGCAGGTGAGCGATGTGGCAGTGGCCGCCAAGAAAGGCTACTTCTTCTCCGCGAGCCGTGACAGGCCGGTCCAACCGGCGCGATAGACCTATGGCGCCTTGCTGGTCAACAGCACGGTCGCAAGCCAAAAGATTGGAGAAGTCTTTTTCATTCTTTTAGCAGAGCCAAGATGTGTTTATGATTAGCGGCTAGAGGGATTGCTTGGGAGTGAGCTGAAGCTTCTTAGACGTTCTGAAGTTTGTAAGCTTGTCATTGTCAAACTTTACAAACTGACATGTCGTCATGTCACAAGAAAAGGGCGTTGCTTGAAAGGAAGAGGAACAAGATGGAGCAAAGCACACATATGTCTTTTTCTTTTGTTGGTTTTCGCCAGGTCGATTCGCCGGTGGGACTGCAAGACTCTGGAGAGTGATTTGCAGCTTGCACATGCCCAAGGCGAACTGGCATGCGAGTCAAGACTGCCCACGGTCCAAACCCTTGGTGAGACGGTCATTTTTTGCAAGGTTTCTTGAAAGTAATCCTCCAATCCTCTCAATCCCAAGTTGGTGATGACCCTCTCAATACCTCGGCACCTCCACATGCTTGACCTCTCGACCAGGCGACTGGCTGACGGCCTTGGCGCTGGCGCCTTCGGAGGAGGTGCTCTTCAGCGGGGGCAAGGACCGGACCTTCTTTTTTTGGGCACAGACTGTCCTGGCCCAGTATGGAAGGTTCAAGAAGGAGGTGGAGGGTTCGAAGAGTCAAAGGAGCTTTGACACTGGGGGATGGGAGATGATTGGATTGTATTGGGATTCGATGGTTTTCTATTTCTATTGGGCTCAATATTTCACATCGGAAGAGGTGAGACCTGACTGGATGAGGCACTCTCGTGCATTGTCCAATCACTGAAACGGCCAGGATTCCATCATCAAGGTTTGGGACTGCGACCTGTGGGGAGACCGAGACGGCTTTAGCAGCAGATGGCCCCCATACAGGACTGCAATACATGGGGTGGATTGGGGTGGTTCAGAAGATACTTGAAACATGACACTCCAATGTCTAGAATATATACCTTGCGGTGGTTTTGGTGAATGCAACATATGCCATCCTGCCATACATGGTACTATGGTAGTACATGGAGGGTTTGCAAGGAGGCTCTACCGTGTCGCAAGCGTCCTTGGGATCTCGAACCCTGTCCGGCTGTGCCGGAGCGTCGACGGACCGCCACGCGTCGGCTTTCGGCTTTCGACCAATCCCTGGAGTCAGATCGCGAAATCGCTGAAGCGTTCAGCGTTCTGCTGCATTTCTGGCTTTGCAACGAGGCATTGTAAGGACATGCTGCAAGGTGGAAGTCTCAGCACTCACCAAGACAGTTGAAGAAGAACTTCGTGCTGAGACCACTGAAGTTAAGTCCTTGTCTTTACAACTCAATCTCTCTTGAGAGACATCGAGTTGTGTGAATCTGCTGGACCCTGTTCATCATGTTCATCACGTCTTTCATAGCCATGTTCTGCCCAATGGAGGTCACAGGGGCCCCATCTCCGATTTGGTGCGAATCCCAGTGTCCTGGCCATCGCTATTAGGTTGGAGGCCATCGCTATTAGACACAAAAGAAAAACGAAAGGAAGGAAGGTCTAATATATAGTTAGCTATTAGGTTGGAGGCCACTGCACCAACTGGGACCGCCCAGCGGGGTGTTGCACTGCGCCAGTTGACGATCGATCACCATTTGTTCTCAGCGTCGCACGATCGAACGGCCAGCAGCTCAAGAGATGTTTCATTCACCAGAGTTGAGCTTGTGAGGATGGTTTTTGTCGCATTTTTCGGGCGCTTTTGGAGGATGCGGAGGCTGTCCACTTTTGGACGTGAGTCCTCACCTCGCAGCCTTCCTACATGCCAAGGTCAGAGTATGGAAGATCGATCACTTTGACACTTGACCGCCGCAAAGCTCCTTCGAGGCCTCACCGGAGTGGTCAGAGTGGTCTCATCGTGGTTGCCAAAGCTGCAAACCAACTGTGGCCCCTTCCATTGGGCATGGCGAATTGCCAAGGATACACGATATATGGTCACTAGTAGCTATTTGCTACTAGGTCAATGTTGCAAGATGCTACGGGTGCGCATTCCATCTGCTCGATTTCGGCATCCTGAGCAGAGTAGCCATGCTGGATTGGGCGGCCACGGGTAGCAAATGAACCCCAAGTGGCGAAGGAGCGCACAAATGGAGCTTCAAAAAAGAGTTGGCAGATCAAAGTTTCGGCCAAACTGACCTGCCATCTCAAAGTCGGACCACTGAAGTTCCCTTGTTGCCCCTTATATAATATCGCCCTCTGATACAACGCCCTCTTTCACACCACGTTTTCTTGCCATCGTTTCAGATGTTTTCGGAACCAACCGCAGCTGCGTCGGACAGATTCCGCGTCCACACACCGCCCTCGGGGTGTCGATCGCCATGGGCCACTTGTTGGTCCTCGTGTCAAGCCTGGTCAGCCTCGTGTCAAGCGAGGAGGGCGAGGATGTCTTGAATCTGGTTTTTATGGCTGCTCGGCTTTGCTGGACGGTAAAAGGCTTTGAGGATTAAAGAGCTTTGAAAGTCAAGTGAGTCAAGTATTGATTTCTGGATGGTCTTGGTGAACAAATCGGAAGACGAACGCCCCTCTACGAATTCGAGAACCGAATCCCAAGAGTTTGATACCATTTTTGCACAGAAAAAGGACCGCTCGAGACCTGAAGACCTCCCCAAACACCGGCGACCCGCGTTCGAGACCCGTGGGTCGAGCCGGCCGAAGCCCAGCTGAGACCGGAGGCAGATATCGGTCACAGCCGCGATCACGCGGATCAGCTCACCAGACCGTGGCCCATGGGAAAGTGTGCCTATGAAGGAGCCTTCAGCCTCTACGAAGGTGGGGTGTTATCGAACCGTGTGAAGGCGGTGCGGTTGGGGTTCACCGTGGTGTGGCGGTTTTGACGTTTTGACGGTGAAGCTACGGAAGCGGAAGGGGTTATGGGATGGTAGTTGGGATGGTATAGGACTTTCCGGAGAACCGGTTTTGGTGCGAACGAGAACCGGTTTCGACCACACCGTTGTGTACACGCTTGCGCGCAAGCGTGTACGTTGCAAGCGCAAGTGTGGGAACGGAACGAACCTGACCAAAAAGTGGTACCTAGATGTACCTAGTAGGTGGAATCTCTACCATATCTATACCATATCTCCTACCATGTCTCTTATTGGTTGTAGAAAAGCTCCACAGTTTTCCTCGCTCTAATCAAACTCCATTTTGTTGGCAAGTTGGATCCATGTGAGGCTTGGAGGACTTTGTACAAAATCGAGGAGCCAAGCCTACAGCGGCTCTCATTGTGCCTTGGAGGATGCCAAGGTATAGTTTTCCTCACTTTCTAGACTTGATCGAACGTGTTGGAGGCGAAAGACATCGAAAACCCCAAAGTTGAATGTTTCGTTGGCTATTTGATGTTATTTGAGCCCTCTAACTCGTGCATGGAACATGGACACGGGCATGGAAAATGGAAGGATTCAAGTTTGAGTATGCTTTCAGTTGCTTTCGCACTTGCCAGTGGGCTTTTCACTCGCCTGATGGCGGCGCTGCCAGGTCGGAGATGTGGCTTATGGCGGTGGCGATCCAGAGGTCTGCAATGCAACCAGAAATGCCTTCCAGAAATACTTGCACGGTCAAGTTCCTGTGGATGCTTTGATCGTCATAGTTGGGTATCAAAGCACAACAAAGCAACCCCGACAACCAAAGCGTGTATTAGAATAAAGAGGGAAAACCCTAAAGACTTTGGAGAACATGAGAAACAAGCAAAACCCATTGGTTCCCCATAAATACACAACCCCCAAAAGATGTGTTGCTTGTCAAGTTGTTGCATCAGAATTAGCCTAAGGACCGTGTGTTCCCTGTGATGGGAAACCATGCCGAGAGCTTGGACATGAATTCAACACGAAACGCTTCCAACAGTCAGCCGAGACCTTTTCATGCTCAGGATATCCATTATTTGGGCTGCAGCAGAGGTGAAATGATTCTCAGCTGAAGAAGCGAAGGGCCTTTTTCCCAAGCGAAGATGGATCAAGCTAGGAATCACTGATGGCCATGGTGAACTGATGGCCTTCATGTCACCCTAGATATTATTAAACTATGAACTTGGAACCTAGAGGATCGATGATGGACACTTCAAAAACGGCGTTCATCTCTGACATTGAAGCAGTGAATTCCCACCGATGGACGGAACCCCTGCCGTTCCGTCCGTTCCTCTTGGGTCCGGAACCGCTTTTCCTCATGCACTGCGCGGCGGAACTTCGCTGCCCGGACCCCCGTGGGCTGTCCACACTGGTGGCCGAGGTTGACACCCTGGCTGCCGTGCTACTATGGCACTGCGCATACCTCGGTCATGTCCAACTACCAGATGACCTTCTGGCTGGACATACCGGACATACCGCGGGGACCGCGGGTTGGGTGTCTTTTTTCCGGTGCATGCTTCGACACGCCCCGACGTGGTTGGATTGTCCATCTTAGACAGTGGACACTTGGCAGGCAGTGGCGGCAAAACTGGCTCTCTGCATTCCCAGGCTTGAGCAAGGCGGACATGTCCGTCGCCAATTTCGAAGACCATGGACTCCTTTCAGTTGCTGGAGACGTTTCATTTCAGCTTGGAACAGACATGGCTGGACGTTTCATTTCAGCGTTTGGTTTCCCGTCTTTTTCGACTCGTGTGCCTGCACGTCTTCCAGGCGACATTGCCTGCACCGAAGGACGTCGTTCCGTACTCCCGCAACGACGAAAACACCAGGGGCTTTGAGTAGGTTTGAGTATGTTACAGTATTTTTGAATGATAAAGCTTTTGCATGCAAAAGCGCTGGGCACCAGTGGTGCAGTGCCAGTGTCTTTCCTACAATGTGCTTCGTACTCCGAACTTAGTTTTAGCACCTGCCCGACGCTGTCAGTTTCTGACGCTGACTCACACACTTTTTGACCACCAGCCTCGCCAGAAATCGTCAGGAGGAGCAAGAAGAGTGTCTTAGACGCAGATGGCAATGGCTCAAAGAATGACCCTCCAAGCCCACTGGACACTGGACGTCACTGTAGTCACTGTAGTCCAAAGTCTGCAGCTTTCTGAGTCCGATCTTTCGTTCTTCGCGCCGGGTCGATGTCTTGAGACGACGTGATGCCGGGAACTGCTTCCGCCGCCTCGCTTCCCCGCCACGTTCCAGCGATGGTCGTTCCGCCGGCCGGTCCTCGTCGCTTCGGCCGGTCCTGTCCTCGCTTCCCCGCGGCGATCGAAGCTTCGACCGAGGTGGATCGTTCTGTTTTCATCGTCGATCTCTCAGGTGGATCTCTCCGATGCGTTACAACCTCAACCTGGACAATCGCAGCAGTGCCACTGGTCGTTTTCGTGTCGTTTTGGGGCCACAGATATGGGGGGGAGCGCGGAAAAGCAGATCAGCAGAGCTGTGAGCCATGCATGCTCCACATTTCACCGGTGGAAATACCAGGTCTAGACCCAAGTCAACTAACTAACCCTCCTTGGACCGATTCCTTTGTTGCCGAACTTCCGGCTGTCTGACATCCCATAGACATCTTTCCATTTTGGAGAACCGCAGCAACAAGATCATCATTTTGTGATATACAAAACTATTTTTTTCATCCACCAACCCTGCTCTTTTTCTCCTACACATCTATTGATTGGTACATCTTTACACTGGTACATCTTCCAGACGCTCGGTTTTTTCGGGACAGGTGCGCGTTCGCTCCGTTGCTCAGCTGTGTGGCCTGACCGAGGGGAGCTGTGAGTCAGCTGTGAGTCGGCAGCTGAGGTCTACATCATCGCTGGGCTTATTTCAGGTGTCTACAGGACCACTTGGAACAACGACACACCCACCGCCTCCTGGACCTGTCATTTTGTGAGACAGAAATGGGTATTCAGAATCTGCTCAAAATCATAGGCACCTTACTAGTAGTAACTGGTAGCAACGTGCATTGCTAGCGAGTATCAAGGACGCTACTAGCTAATAAGTGCCTTACTAGTAACAAGAATGTCACTAGTAACTAGTGACTAATTCGTCCCTGGTGGGCCTTTCAAGTTGCTCTTGTGAACGTAGAAGGAACCCGGCACGTAGCAAAGGAAGCCTCTTTTTTTCGCGTTTTCGCGGCACGTGACGTTCCTTTCCGCTTCGTGAACTCGCTCCTTCACTTCGATTCCCAGGTGGCGATGGATGCGATGGGCCCCAATGGCGATGAGCTCGAATGCCGCTTCCTTCGAGACTCCCTCGCAGAAGGCGCCGGAAAGACGCGACGCCACGAGAACTGGGGCCGTTCACGGCGGGGGCGTGGACATGGGTGGGCTGTGCCCTCTCCAGGTCGAAGGTTGAAGAAGAGCATCTTCGTTTACGTCACCCACGACTTCCAACATGCGTGCAAGGATTGGAGCCTCATCAGTGCCATCGATGCCGGGAATCCCCAGAGACCCGTTTTCCAGTCGTCGGAGTCGGGGTGGTGTTCTCTCGCTATTCTTTTTTCATCCCCACCATGTGGACGAGAACCTTTTCGATTGGCCAACTGATCCAATGCATATCTAAGATCCAACGCAGAGTGGGTCAAACCAGAGCTCAAGAAACCAAATGTTGGACAAGAACTGCAGGAGTTCAGAAGTCCGCATCACAAGGTGCAACTATTCTTCTCTTCGACCTGCTTTGCTCCCGTGTAGACTCCTTCGACTTCATGAGACCTGGAATTCTTTTACATACTTCCAATTTTTTCAAAAGTACCTGAACTTCATGAGTAACATGTATACTGTATTCAATAGTAACATCTTTCAGATGGAATTCTTTGATCGATCTTCCGAGGTTCTTCCGCATCTTCCCACGGATCCGTCGGATCGGATCGGCTTCGTGGGTTCGCCGGTCGTCGGTTCTTCAGGTTTGGATCACCGGCCACAAGCATCTTTATTGGCAGTCTGAAGCTTCTGGCTCAACGCAAGCCCAAGAGTCTCTCGGTCACTGGGGGGGGTGGAGCCGAAGAGATCGCCGACCCCAGCTGGCTTCTCCATAGATCTCCCACCTTTTTCGGGAGAGATTCGGGAGGGAGTGGCGGCATTGAAAGAGATTTTAAGGCTTTTGGTTTGGGTGTGTCTCAGAGTTGGTATATATATACTATGCTGAAATGACAAAGGACTTGTGAAAACTACCTCCAAATTGCGGCGGCTAAGTCATGAACATTTAGCCTACCCCCCCACAAGTATTTATGTCATGAAGCAAAAGCTTGGAAAAACCTCAAAATCAGAGATGCCAGAGGTTGTCACCAAAGATCCTAAAAACAGTTGATTTTATATTGACAAGCATCATGACATACGACTTTGGTATCTAAACAATGAATAAATAGGAATTTGAGAGCAAAAACGCACAAAGGCAGACTTAAATGAGATAGTAATGTTCCTATGACATGTGGACTTTCATTAGCTCTAATCTTCCAGGAGCATGGGCCAAAAAAAAAAAACTCAGGACCAGGTCAACAAGGCCTATGTCATGAGTGTGTGCCAATGAACTTGCAAATTTAACATTTGTACATGACTTAGGACTTGCCCTGGGAAAGTTGTATGTCATTTCGACCCAATTGGCCTAAGTCATCTCACCGTAGTATATATATATAGAGTAGATTTATAGCAGTATGTAGTACTGGCAACATTGCAATACGTGAGGATTCTGCTTAATTGAGGTGCAACGATTCTGCCAGTTCTCGTTCTCGTTCCGTGCTTCGAAGCCGAGGCTTCGTCACTTCCCCCTGCGAATTCTCATTGGCAACGGCGGCTTTGATGAGGGTCAGATGGACGTCGCGACTCGGCAGACGAGTCGCGTGGAGGGCAGCGTAGCCGAAGCCTAAGCGTCACCAAACACATGTCACAAGCGCGCAAGAACCGAAGGCAGAAGTTTAGGAGCTATTCTTGTCGAGCCGTAGTGCAAAGTTGCCATGAGCCTCAAACCCGAGCAGGGTACATGCGTTTGGCTAAATGTTTGTGTATTTATTCTTTTGGATTTGGTCATGCAATTGTTGTCCATGTAAGCGTAGTCCGGACAATTCCTTCCGAGTAAGCCAGGTCAGCTTCGGTCACTTGCGCGAGATCCCCTATGATGCTGGCCAGCTCAATCATTTTTTTGCTTTTTGGGGTGCCTTTCGAGTGCAGGGCCAGCGCATGAACAAAACAAACACCGGCCAAAAAACACCTTTCTGCAGCGTCCTCGGCGTGTTCTTCTGCAGGCGGCCAGCAACGGGTGAAGGTTCAGTTCAAGATTTATGACACCTGCATCTCAGACGACTTTATGTGCCCCATGATAGGCGTCCGTAGGGCCGGACTGGATGGGATGGGAAGACTTGTTTTGATGGGCGTCTCTCTTCTTTTCCATGACCAGATCACTTGATTTCGATCATTTGATCAATTGAGTGCGCGTAGGAAAGATCACGAGTGTAGAAGATGGGACGGCTTCCGCCAAACGAGCTCCCTGCGCCCCGCCCCCACCCGCGTTCGTGCGCGCGGAGGCAAAGGTGGCCCCTACTGCTGGGACAAGTGTCGATCGATCCCCGGGGGTGTTGATCGTGGCGGCGGGTCTCGCAAAGCCACCCCAGGTGCAATGGGGGGGTTTGACCGGGAGGAGAGGAGAGGTGTCAAGCATGGTGTGGGTGGGTTACGAAGGTAGTTCAGAAGAGCAGCTACTTGCTATTCAAATCGTTTTCCGTGATAATAATATATATATATATATGATATATATGCCCTTGTTACTAGTAGCGATGCCCTTGTTACTAGTAGCGATGCACTTGTTACTACTTATTTTGATCCAGGACGTCATGATTCCGGCTTCACCCTGGACGCACCTCGTGGCTCACCGTCGGAATGGGTCTTTTGGATCAATTAGTGTTCGCATGCCCTTTCTCGGGCTTGGTGAGATCCTTTACATAGCATTTGGATCAATTTGTGGAAACATCGCTGAACTTCTGGTTGTTGGGATTTCCAGGGCGACATGTGCATACCGAGCCCATCATATGGTGTTTCCTCCTTGCTGTGGCCAAGGCCTCGGAACTGTTTGGCCAGACGTGGCTTGTACGCCTTGTGAAGGAGGTGCCATGAGAGACGTGACACACAATTGTCGATACCCAACCGGACGTAGCGTCCTTGCTACTAGTAGTAATGGCCTCCAACCTAATAGCGATGGCCTCCAACCTAGTAGCGTCCTTGCTACTAGTTAAGTTTCCCATAAAAATCTAGGAACCAAATAACCAAATGATGAGTGCGTGAGCTATCCTGCGTCCATACGAGCTAGCTAGCTAGCTACCTCTAGCTACTACCTCTACCGGCCTCCACGTCTTTCAGGCTTTGAACGCGACGTGTCGACGCGATGCTGCGACGTGGCGACGTGTCGACGCGCACGTGCTGAAAGGATCGCTGGCTCGCACTGGGTGTTTGTCCCTATGATGGGGACTTCGACAACTGCTTGATACCGTCCAGCCACACGGCGCATGCGTCGATATGAGTGCAAACCACAGGACGTTGTTCGATGTGTGTGTTTTTTTTCTGTACTGAGACGTGCATTGTGAGACGGGTGCTTTTTTGCTTGTGCGGATTGACATTCAGTTGAAAAAAGCCAAACGGATGTCTGCATGTGGGTGTGCGTGCGTTCATCTCATGACCTCTCCCTGAAAGAGTACACACACCTTTTTACTAAGAACCCAGTAGTTCGATGTAGTTCTATACAGTTATATAGTCCATAAAGCTTAGATCATTTTTGAAGTTCACCAGAATTCCTTTCTTGAAAGCACTTTCCTTAAACCGACTAAGCTGTGTGCTGCTGATTTCTAACCGTTCTCGACCCTTGGCCCGCACACTGCTGTGAAGCCGATTGTCGTCCAAGGCCAAGCTGATGCCATTGGGTTGCAGCTCTTTGGCCGTGGTAGCACGTTGCCGGCCAAAGGTGAGCCCATTCACGCTGCCCTGGCCTTGCAGGATGCGCAGATTATTTTTTGGGTCGTACACATAGCAGCACAGTCAGAGATGCAGCAAAAACCACAGTCAGAAGACGGAAGCCATACTTCTCAAAGATTCGTTGCATTCATTGGATTGTTTATGGCCCCAGCATGCCTCCTCAGGACGACTTCAGAGGCTTTGTGACTCATGACGCTGTGAATGTCACACAAAGGGTGGCGTTCTGAGTTGATTCCGAGAGAAGGCCACATGATTCATAGGATAGAAGATGATGTCTGCCTTCAAAAAAGGACTGTCCAGGCCTATCGAGTCCAACTGCTTCAGAAGCATGTTCAGCCTTTTCGCCCAACTTGCGCCAAGGGCGCTGGTTTCTGGGCGAAGGACTTCTGGGGCCGTGGAAAGATGAACTCAGCGGACGCTGACCTCTTTACCTTTGTCCAGGAGGCAGTCCGACATGAATTCTTTTCTCTTTGTTGGGCGCCATCCAGCGCCACGGATCCAGATCCGTGCGATCTGTCGATTCCACCCCATGATGCAGGTCGCTCAGTCCAATTCACTCACAACTCCTTACTTCGCTATGACAACAGTTTCAACGTGTCGACAAACGCAGGCTGGACGTTGGACCATGAAGGGCATGGCGGTGAGGAGTGGAGACTTGAAGGAGTCGACCAAAAGGGTCGCCAATTGATTCAGACAATCATGTCTTGGCGTTGAGTCTGGGTTCTTTTCTTTGTGAAAGGGTGGGCAGTGCTGAATTCGAAATTCAGACATCGTGTACGCTTCTGGCCTTTTTGACCCAGCTGCTTGCTTGAGGGTTGGACCCCTACCATTTTGTATCCACATCTCATATATTCCCAACAGCAGAATGCAGTTGGGTTTCAATCTCTGGGGCTGGGAGTGGTGCGCAGTTGGTCCATGGGGCTCCAAAACCGGAAGTCTGTCCTGGAACCCTGGATGCTGTCTGGGCTGGGAGTGGTGCGCAGTTTGTCTACAGCTGTCTGACCTTGGAGGGGTGGCGCACAGTTTGTTTACAAGGCTCAGGGCAGAGAAACAAATACATCGGAGATATCGTAAGACTTCATTTTGATGGCAGTGCTTGGTGTCCCGTCTTGGAACCTGGCTGCCTTGATCGCCTTGCACTTTAGATTGTGCAGCTTGTTCGGTTTTCAGGCTGACCTGACCTGCTTTGTCATTGAACACTGGCACAAGCCAAGTGGAGATAGAGCAGCGGAGCCAAGTAGACTATTTTATGTGCAAAGCGATGGAAACTATGAATGTGGGTGTATGCATTGTGGGTGAAAAGGAAAGAGAACCGGCTTTGTGCTGGGAACGACGTTTCTGTTCTGATGGGCTTTGCTCCTGCCTGCTCCGGACCCCAGTTCCTGCTCCCGTTCCTGCTCCCGGTTCCCTTTATATTTCACAAATCGATTGGGGCTGCGTTGGAGCTCTAGCAACGCATAGTTGGTGTTTTTGAAAAGTTCCAGTCAATTGAGTGGCTACCTGCTGTTGGGTTGCAAAGCTTTACAGTATACATTCCCAACAGTTAAATGCAGGTGGGTTTCAATCTCGGGCTGGGAGATGGTTCCAATGGAATGGTGCGCAGTTTGTCCACGGCGCTACCTTGGAACCTGGCTGACTTGACCTGCGCTGTCATTGGTTGGGCTTCAATGATCTCTGAAACTGCTGGCGTCCCAAATCCGGAATCCTCCCTAGCCCCGGCACTGTTGTATCACCCTATGCGCAGCAAGGCCGCAGGTAGTTGCGCGTACCGCACAGCAAACTTTCTCCACCGGCAACGGCTTTTGCACTTATAGTGTGTGCCTTTTGCGCCCGGTGCTGGGCTTCCCAACACGTTTAGATGCGCCGCAAGGCAACAGGCAGTTGCACGTCCTGGGCAGGACGTTTCTGCGACCGCTCGTAGTCCGCCGTTGGCTGCTACGAAACTGTGTGCCTCCTACCTCAATTGCAGAGCGTTCATCGGCTTGCGTGTACCTAGCAGGACGTTGCTGCGACGGCAACAGCTTTTGCACTTGTGGTGCGCCTCCTGCCCCGGTTGCGAAGCAGCTTGCTCCGCACCATAAAAATATCTCATGCGCAGCAAGGCCACAGGCATCGTGCGTACTTAGCAGGGTGTTTCCGCACCGGCAAGCAACCGATACACTTGAGCCACGTTTTAAACCTCAGTTGTCATGTCAAGTAAGGAGATCCTTGTAAGGACCTGTGGAAGCAAAACACTAGTGGGCGTAAGCCCGCGTAAGCAATTTTAGCCAATGTTGTTGGCGTAAGAGATTTTTCGTGATTTGTGAAATGGCAGTTTTGGACAAAGAACCTTTTATATTCCAAGCTTACAGTGGGATCACTGTCAGGTTGCTGGATATTTGTTTCCTCAAGTGGTGACAAGCTCCATGCTGCAGGTTGAATGTGATTCTGATGATTCTGCAAGATTGAATTGCATGGAAAACGAAATCATGATAAAGCCCGCAATGAAAAGGATTGTCCACCAAGACAAGGAGTTTTAACAACTGCACTGTACTATCGGATGGAAACAGCAACACTGTAATGTGCCCATAGTGTCATACCTTTTTCAAGACCTTCACCTCCAAACTTTGTTTCCGGGTTGGAAGCCAAACTCCGCATAAGGTCCGCGTAAGGTCTGCGTAAGCGGCGCGAAAGCCAAAGCTGCTTTTGCCAGTAGTTGCCCATGTCTCCCAAACACAAATCATTTTCGCAACTTGGTGCAGAGCGCCAGGGACTTGTCGCAAAGACCGTCTCGGACATTTTGGAACAACACTGCCCTTCTCTGGATGAAGCACACCTCTTGCTGAACAAGGCTTTCTCTAGATGTCAATCTGTCCTTCCTGGCCTGTCCGCTATCAGTGGTGCCCAGTCTGTCTGTCATGCCCATGCGCTCAGCACAGGTGCTGCCAAGAAGCGTCGTCAACTTCGTCATCTGCGGGCTTCTTCTGTTGCTGCGTCTTCATCGGCTTCATCTTCTTCGTCCACGTCATCATCTTCTACTGCTTGATGCTGCCTAGAAACGCTGCGGTTCCTGCAGGTAAAAGTTGCTGCGCGTAAGCTGGGGCTGTGGCCGGGTACTAAAAATGTCCAGCGTAAGGTCTGCGTAAGCCGGTTTATTCCGCGTAAGCAAAACTGCGCGCGCGTAAGCAAAACGTAAGACGCGGCGTAAGCGTTGCCTTGTTTGGTGCCGGGATATAAGACGTGCAAAACACAGCTCACTTGTGGTGTGCCTTGTGGCCCCATTGCAAAAGCACATGTTTTTTGCGCAGCCAGGCAACAGTCAGTTGCACGTAGCAAGATGTCGCCGTGCTGTTGCACTTGTGGTGTGCTTTCTATTCCTGTTCCAACTCACTTTTTCTTTGCGCCCAGCAACGTGCCTTTGTGCCGGGAACGACCTCCTGCACAGGACCCCACTTCCTGCTCCCGGTTTTGTTCCCCAGTTCCTGCTTGCATTTTGCAAAATGATTGGGGTTGTTGCTACCTGCTGTTGGGTTGTAAAGCCGGGCTAATACGTAAAACACATATATATATATTGTATAGATACAAAAAGATAGACCGACCGAGACATACAAAGACCTCGGTGTCGGAGCAGCGCAATCCTGAATTCCTCGAACTTCTGGAGCAGCTCTCGATAGGAATGGGTGGAGTGCACAATGAACGTGAGCGAAGTGAATTCTTTTTCAGCCAGACCTTCTGTGATTG